GCCCCGGGCTCCTCGGCCGCTCCCGCACCCCCGGGAAACGCTGCCCTTCCTCCCCGTGCTGCGGGAAGGCGGCCGCGGGGCACAGCCCTGCCCGGGGGGGTTTCTGAGAGGCTGAGCCGAGAGCAGGAACACGGTTGCCCGAGCCCTGCTCCACACCAGCTGGTTGGCAGCGGGGTCAGGGAGCCCCACAGCCGCACTGGGGGTGCTCGGGCTGAGCCCCCTCCAGCCGTCAGCCCAGGCAGCTGTGGGGTGACCGTGGGTGGTGGCAAAGCACAGACCTGGGTCACCAGAGTGTCCCTCGGGAGGGGGTGGGGGGGTCAGAGGGTTGTGCCCACCAGGCCATCTCAGCTCCTGTACAAAACTGGTGCTAACCTGAGCCCAGGTACCCTGGCTGCTCCTCTTTGGCAACCCCCTGTGTTTAGAGACCACTTAGGACCCTGCCAGGGCTGAAAAACAAACTGTCCTGAGAAACAGGAAGAATCTGTGCCTAACCCTGGAGGTGGCAGTTGATACCTCATTGAGAGCCTCTATTTACAGCTCCCTTCAGAGCAGCCTAGTGTTGTTGATTAGGCTGGAAAGAAATGAATCTTCACTGAGAAGTCTATTTAAGAGGGACTCGATTCAGTCTCCAGTTCCCTCCTTCCAGACCAGCAGATGGCCCCAAGCCAGAGGAACAGACCCTGCTTCCCAGAGCCATCTGCACCTGTCCAATCACTGCTTGACTGCCTGGGCCTGGCATTGCTAATTATATCTGCCCATTATTTCCTCTGATGGCAGGGAGATGGTTCTGCCAGGTCAGATGGTTGGTCTTGCCAACAACAGACAGAAAAGATTAAAAACAACCTAGAGGGAAGAGGAGTTTTTGGGCCTGCCTGAGGCCAAGGAGCTAAACCTAGGCCCAACACAGACCATCCTTCAGCCAGACCACCTATTGGTCTCAAGCACTGGAAGATGATCAGCAGCACAAAAATAAGCAATATCATGAGCCAAAGTGTCTGGATTAGATAATTTTCAAGTGGCTCAGCCACTTGTGGTTCAACACAGTTGCACACCTGCCAGGCAGATGAGAGCAGCAAACCTCAAGGGGACTTCACCAAGACCAGAACAACTCTCTGTCCTCTTACATACACCAAGAAGTTGTCCAAAAGCCCAGCAGTGTCAGCACAGTCCTTTCCATGGGTGTCCCAGTGCTGTAATGGCCCCCAGAGGATGGATGCTCACCTCATGCTAATGTGTCTCCAGTGAGGACTCAGCCTTCTCCTGCCCCAGTGCCCACACAGAGTGGGGTTGATGCCCTGCCCTGAGCTGCCTGCTGAGTCACACACACCCCAGAGATGCCACAGGCACCATGTGGCTCTGCTCTGGGCACCCAGGCTGTGCTGGTGCTCAGACAAACCTCCCCCGGGGTTAGGATGGATTTAGCCTCTAGTGACAAGGACAGAAAGCCCCCAAAGTAACACTGGGTGTGAGGCTACAGCCCTGCTTATCTCTGCAGGGGGATTCCCAGCACATCCCTGCTGCAGGAGAGACCCCGGGGCTCAGAGAGCATCCTTGGACCCAACTCAGCTCCAGCAACATTTGTGTCCCTCACCTGAGCCACACGGGAGAGCAGCAAGGAGCTGCTGCTGGGTGTGGGCTGGGCCTTAGCAACCCCAGTTCCCCTTTCCTACCGCAGCTACTGGTGTGGCACCAGAGACACTGCAGGCCCTGCAGGTTTCACAGCGCTCAGGAGGAAGCCGGTTTTCCTCTCCATCATGATACCACCCCAGCCTAATGAGACAACACAGATCGCTGGCCAAACCAGGCACCAGCCCAGCCTGGCGCCACTCCAGGGGCTTTATGGCTCTGGGAGAATCTGCCCCCCCAGAGATAAGTGGTATCAGCAGCTTTATCAGAGCCCAGCAGCCTGACACCCGCATCACCCTCCTCCCCTCACACACCATGGATGTCTGAATGCCTTTCCCACCACCCGAAGCAAACCACTTGCTCTCCCAGACCCCAGCGGAGCTTCCTGGGAGCCCACCAGCAGTTTATAGCCCCGAGCCAGCGCTGAGCAGCTGAAATCAGTGCAATCAAGCGGAAATGAGCTGCAAACGGCAGGAGTGACTTCAAATGAACCTGCAATTTAGCCCCATTGTTTGATTTGATTTGCTAGTAGATCCTATCTCTGATAGGTTAATGACTTGTCTGTTGGCCCTGGGAAGCACAGCTGGAAGGGAGGATTTACAGCCAGTTCTGAAGTTTCTACTTCACTGTCCCCTTTGCCCAGTCCTGCTCACTCTCAGACCAACCCCATTAACTTGCTGCAAAATCTCCCTGATCTGCCCTTACAACAGTTTTTTGGGGACCCCTGCCGAGCTCATTCCTTCCCCCTGAGTTAGGGAGGAGCCAGATTTTCATCCTCTGAAATGGCTGAATTTTGCTTTCTGAGTTTCACCATAAAAAACTAACCCCTACCTTAACCTTTTCTGGCTGAGGAGCCCAGCCTGGAGCAAATCCTCCACCACGTCTGCAAGGATTTCTCTCTCTTTCTGGCTCTGCTAAGTCATAGAGACCTGGGAATGATCTGGGTTTATCTTGGTTATCTGAGATGGCAGCGGAAGGGAGAGATCAGACAGAGCCTGTTCCAGCAGCCAGCACTGCAGGAGCTGCTTTAGCAATTGTTATCACCAGCCTTATCTCCTAAAGACGCACCTAAAGGTCGCACCAAAGTCGACAAATCTGCCCATGAAAGCACAGTCTGAAATTCCCACCTTATCTTCCCAAGGTCCCTAGAGCAGAACCTGGGGTTGGAAATACCACTGAAGCCCAGAGGAGAGGACTGAATGGCTCAGCTGTGGTGGTGGGCAGTATGGTGGGATGGGAGCTGGGGAAGGTTTGTGGGTGTGGGGCCATGAAGGGGAGGTTCAGGGGGGTTGGGGAGAGGTCTCTGCATGGGTCTGTCCCCATTTCTTGCAGAGGACTAGGCAGGGTGGCTCCACACCACATTCTGCAGGTTTCTGCCTGAATTGTTCCACTCCCTTTCTAGTTTAATGACTTTCAACCTGGCACTTTAATTGGGATAAATGTGTGGCTCGTGTGCCAGAACCTCTTGTGTCAGTGCTCTGAGGGTCCTCACTCCTGTCTGCTCCCAACTTGCTGTTCCCCTTCAGGATCTGAGGTGGTTTGGGGTCAAGGCACTGAGCTGGACCTCATCCCCTTTACAAAACCCTCATAGACACCCCACACTCAGGACCCCCCACTGCAACCAGGGCTCCTTGGCTCAACAACTGGGAGAAATATCAAAGTAAAACCCCAGGTGGGAATTGTGATGTTGGTACTGGGTGGCTGTAACTCAAGCAGTGTCCTCAGGGAAAGGAAGGAGACCTCCAGAGAGCATGGGGACAAGGGAGGGTACTGGTGACCCTGGCTGCAGGGGGTCACATCCTGCTCCCCCCAGCCCCTTCTCCTGTTTACATGTCAGTATTTCAGCCATCGACCCCAGACAGGGGAGTTACAGAAGGAAAAAACCCTGTTTGGGAAGGTCTCATTGTCTCTCCAAATATAACCACCCTGCTGCAAAATGGAAACCCACACAGCACTTGTAGAAAGGGCAAGAAAAACCACAGGGGTGGAAAGGAAATGAAGCAGGGAGGTGCTGTACAAAAGGCCAGTGGACAGCCCTAGGATGGCAGCCTGGGCCGTGGGTGGCCAAGCTGGAGCTGAACAAAGGGAAAGGGCTCCACCCCTGCCTTGCCACAGGCCAGGGGAGCTCCTCTGGGCACTGCTGGCTTCCCAGGGCATCACAAGCCTCAGCATCTGCAAGAAGCTCTGATGCTGAATGGGGAGTGGGAGCAGCGTGGGAGCCACTGCCTGGGCCAGCTCCACCAATGCAGCCCTGCTCCCGTTTTTTCCTTGAGGTCCAGTATGGTCATGCCTGAGATAAAAAAGCCAGAGGAGGAGGAAATCCCACATCACCCCAACCACTCTCTCCCAGCAAGGCCCAGGGCAGACCTGACCTCCAGCCACCCAGTCCCAGCCCTCAGTGACATGAGGGCAGCTCTGGGTGATGTCCAGATCACTCCCACTCCCCTCTCTCCATATGCTCCATGTCTCCCCCCACAAACCAGCAAACCCCAGCAGATCCCAAGCCTAGAGCCAGGCATGCACATTCCCAAGAGCTGGCAGGGCCCAGCATCTCCCTCTCAGTCAAGACACAGTCCCAGGTCTGAGCTGTATCCACCCCAGCATCACTCCTTAGGGAGCACCAGGACGTGCAGCCTCCAGCAGTGTGGGAAGGCAAGGTGGGCTCTGCAAAGATCAAGCAAAGTTTGAAGCTCCTGTGCTGGTTTTGCCCCGTTTTGGCATTGGAAGCTTTGCTGAGTTCACCTGCTCCAGCACCTCTCTACAGCATCCATTTGGTGTGAAGACCCCTCCCTCCCAACACCCTACCCCCTCCCAGTGGGATGTGCAGGGTCCCATGTCCCATTCCTGCAGCTGCCCACCCTCCCCGGAGTGTTTCAGATGCACCAAACTGCAAAAAAAGGACCTCAAGCAGCTTGTCACCCACAGCACAAAACCTCCAGCCCCAAGACAAAGCCTGGCCAGATAAAAATAACCCATCAGCAGAGCAGCCACCTCCTGCATGAGCAAAACAGCAACGTGAGAAGCAGCGAGTGGACATCAGCTCAGTGACCCCCCCCCCCCACCCCTCCCAGTGGGATGTGCAGGGTCCCATGTCCCATTCCTGCAGCTGCCCACCCTCCCCGGTGTGTTTCAGATGCACCAAACTGCAAAAAAAGGACCTCAAGCAGCTTGTCACCCACAGCACAAAACCTCCAGCCCCAAGACAAAGCCTGGCCAGATAAAAATAACCCATCAGCAGAGCAGCCACCTCCTGCATGAGCAAAACAGCAACGTGAGAAGCAGCGAGTGGACATCAGCTCAGTGACCCCCCCCCCCACTGCCCGGTGCAGGAAGGAGGTTGGAGCAAAGCAGGACCATGGGCATGTTACCAGGCTGGGGCTGGCTCCTTGTCCCAGGTAAGGACAGGCTCTGGACATGCTGGAGATGCTCCCACTGGCAGCAAGGGGCCTGGGGCTGCTGAGACCCCCCTCAAGGCATGGGCCCCACGTGAGGCACTGCTGGAGCCAAAGCCTCTCATCACCATGGCCTCACGGCTGGGGATAAAAGCCAGAAGATGGGGTGTTCCCCAAAGCTCTTCTCTCCAAAGGGAGCTGAGGAGGGGCTCAGGGAAAGGCTGACTTTGCAGCCTTGTTTCTCCCCAGTGTGACTGTGGGTTTCTTTGCAGTTTGTCAGGCTCTGACTGTCCCCAGGGAGGTGAGTGGCCGGGCTGGGGAGAGGCTCTCCCTCCGCTGCTGGTACTCCCGGGGCTACGAGAGCTACAACAAGTACTGGTGCCAGGGGGACACCCGGGGCTCCTGCCACAAGGTGGTGGAGACAGCAGGGCAAGAAGCACCCCAGCAGCATGGCCGGGTCTCCATCCATGACAACCACGTCTTCTGTGTGGTCCTGGTCACCGTGGAGGACCTGTCTGAGGAGGATGCTGGGAGTTACTGGTGTGGAATCGAGAGGACGGGCTTGGACCTGATGGAGCCAGTGACAGTGAGGGTGGTTCCAGGTAAGCCCTGGTGTCCAGCTGGCTGGAGGTTTTGCTGTCTGAGAGAGGCCACGAGCTCATGGGCCAGCAGGGACATAGGAGGAGGCAGCAATGTGGAAAAGAGCCCCTGGGACCCAGTATAAACCAGTGGCATAGGCTGGGAAGAGTGACAGGTTGCATTCTTTAGGGGATGCACTCAGATGGAGGCAGAGCTTGATGGAGCCCATCACAAGGTCCATCCCTGGGCTGGTTTTTGGGCTCCTGGCACCCACCACTGTGCTGGTAGGACAGCAGAGCCACCGGCTACACTGAGCCCCAGCCCTGAGGCCAAGGATCAACCACCCAGCCCAGCTCCTGGCAGTGCCGTGGTGTAATTCTGGGCTCCCTAGATGAGGAAAAGGGGTAGGTCCAACCCCCCATCACCTAAACCTCTGCTTCACAGCAGGTAGAGGGATGTTTCACCATAGGAAACACTGCCTGGAGGGTGGGGGGCAGCTGGGTATGGCAGGCAGGCACAGGCAGGTTCAGGCAGGGCTCATCCCTCAGGGAGACTGGCAAGGCAAGGGCACGTGGTGGAGGGGACATGGGCACATATTGATCTACTGACAGAGGAGACATGGAGGACCCATGGTCACTTCCCACCTCCAGTTCCCACCAGGACCATCTTTTATCCATCTGTACCAGTTCTCCCGGGCACCCACACCCCCTGGAACTCCAGCACGGTGTCAGAGCATCCCCCCTCCACCAACACCACAGCCACAGGGTGAGCCCAGGGTCCTGGGCACAGGGTGGGCATGGGGAGGGCAACGGCTGTCACTGTGGTGGGCAGCAGTGGGTGCACGAGGGGGCTTGCAGGGACACTCAGGATCTTCACCTACCAGCCCAGGCACTTAGGGGTGGGGAAGTGCAGCAGCAGGGACCATGTAGGATGCCAGGCTGTTGTCCTGCTTGGTGGCTGGCTGTGGAGGGGCTGTGGGAGGGCATCAGCACTCAGGGCATTGCAGAAGCCTGGGGAGAGGGAAAACCAGCCACACTCTTCTCCCTTCCCCTGCAGCCCCTCGGGACCAGCCCTGAGTGTCCTGGTGCCCAGCACGGTCCTGCTCTCCCTCCTGGCTGCTGCCGGCTCTGCCAGGCTCCTCTGCACCCTGTGCAGGAGGGGAGGTAACGCTGCCCGAGCCGGTCCCGTCCCAGACACAGCCCAGTGCCTGTCCCAGGGCCTGCGGGACAAACCCATCCCAGGCAAGAGGCTGCAGGGAGCTCCCCCCGCGGCTCCTCTTCCTGCCCCGCTGCCCCCTCGCACCAAAGTCCCCGCTGTCCCCCGGGAGGAGGGCAGGGCCACAGAGCCAGAGCTCGGTCCCCTCTGCAGCCACGGGCAGGACCTGGCAGAGGTGAGAACCCCCGGAGAGGACAGTGCAGCAGCGTGGGCTGTGCAGGCAGCGGCCCCGTGCCCTGGGCAGCCCCTGCCTCCCCCAGCTGTGCCCCAGGGCTGGGGTGACATGCTGTCCCCTCACCAGGGTGGCCACAGTGACATGAAGCAGGACACTGAGCAGGAGGGCGATGGTGTCTATGCAAACACCCTGTGACAGGAGGGGGTGATGGGGACGCTTGGCCAGCACTTCCCAGGAGGTTTCCTACTTGTCCTAGTGGATTATCCCTCATGGGCAGAGGGGCCCTGTGGGGCCCCCCCACCCCTGGGGGGTTGTCCTTGTGGTCACCCATGGGGACATCCTCGCTGTGGCAGAGGAGGCAAAGGAGCCTTGCAGGAGGTGGCTGCTGCTGTCCCATCACCGTGGCTTCTAGGTGACGTGACAGCCATGCTGGCACTGTCCCCTGGCCTGCAGAACCCCCAAGCCCCCTGCCCCTGTGCTGCTTGGGTGGATTGAGCAGCACTTCTCAGCTGGCAAAATACCAGATCCCACATTCCCCATTCCCACGCAGGCTGAGGAGTGGGATGTTTTCCTGGCTCAGCGGCAAAAACGTTGCTTAGGGTTCAGATAAACCCAATAAAGAAATTCTTCAGTGAGAAATTGGCCTGGAGTGGAAAGGGGTCAGTGTGCTGTGTCCATAGAGCCACTCTGCTGCTTCTGTCCCCTTTGGGGGTCCCCAGGGGCACCCCAGTACTTGTGGGGCTGCTTTAGGAGGGGCACTGGAAGTCAACTCTCAAAGCAAGGAAAACATGAGCAGCTGAGGAGGCAGCTGGAGCCCTGGCTGGTTGAGAAGAGCTTCAGCCTTTTCAGGAAGGTTTATCAGCAGGGTCTGCAACATCCAGCCACTTCTTGAATTTAAATCTTGCTGCTATTTGCAGCAACTTGGCTCACCACCAGTCAGCTGGTTGGCTGGGAATAAATGGGTTCCTTGATGACCAGATTAAAGCCCAGAACTTCCTCTTGCCATGGTGGGATCACAAGGAGGGCACAGGGGGAAGGAGCAGCCTCAGCCTCTAGCAGAGATGGAGAGTTGTGTTTTCTGCTCTTTCCAGTAGACATGAAGGAAGGGAACTGTTGGCAAGGCAGTTTCCAGGGAAGATGCTTTGCTTTTTGTGTTTGGGTTTCTGAAACTTCTACAAACAGTGTTGTAACTCAAAACCCACGGCTGTGTCAAAAAAAGAGGTTTGGGGGTGGAAATGAGACACTTCCGCTTGAGAAAACAAACAAAAGCAGCCCAGCTCCCACTGGCAGCTGGCCTGGGAGCCAGAGGACAGCAGTGCAGTGGGCATGGCTGGTCCACCATCCCAGTCTTGTCATCACAGTGTGTCATCCCAGTCCTAGTTTGTCATCCCAGTCCATCAGAGCCGAGCATCCTGGCAGTCCCAATTGGTCCATCCCCAGGAGCTGACCTGCACTTGCTCTGCCCTAGTCCCTGGACCCCACTCTGGCCCAATTCTCCTGTAAGGCCCCCCCAAAGCCCTCTGGGCTCTGTGCGTGGGGAATGGGCTGCGTTCCCCACGGGGATGGGCATCACAGCAGAGGAACCTACCACAAACTGGTGGGTTTCTGGGAGCCAGCAGCTTTTTCAGAGTGAAAGAGGAATCTCTCTGATGAGACACCCCCAGGGTGAGTCACAGTTCCTTGGAAAGGGGGAGGAAGGAACTGACTTTAAAAGAGACATCCAGGGTCTGTGGGTAAGCACTGCCCAAGGAAGAGATGGGAGAAGGAGGTTTGGGAAACTCCTGGGACACTGGACATGCATGAACCTGGATCCATCTCGCCGGATGCTTTGTGAATGACTGTGGGGAGAAGTCTGCGTCAGGAGTGAGCAGCTGGAAGATGAAGATTTTCCTGATTTGGACCTTCTTCTCAGGTGAGACCCAGGAGCACAGGCCAGGTGGTTCCCAATCCTGGGCTCTGGCAGAGCTGCAGAGAGGCTGGGACAAAGCCAGCTCAGGAAGCCCTCTGTGGTCAGGGCAAGATCCCAGCTGGTACTGTCCTTTCCTGGTGGCCAGCAGGCAGCTGCAGGGCTGCTCTCTGGGCTGTCTTTGTACTGCTGTCACACGAGCCCTAGGAATGAGGCTTTTTGCCTGTTTGATAACATATTCATTTGACTGGGGCTCTTTTTTGATGACCGGGGACGTGCCATCTCAGCACTGCTCCCCAGCACAGCAGGTGCAGGGCACGACCTCCCTCAGGACATGGTCCCCCCGAGCATCCCAGGTTCAGAGCCCTCTGGGTTCCCCGAGGTGATGCCATACGTGCTTACAGCACCTCTCCACGTCCCCCACAGGTGGCTGGTCAGTGACAGGCCCTGCACAGGTGAGAGGCAAGCTGGGTGGGTCAGTGGAGGTGTCCTGCAGCTACAAGCCACGCTACGAGCACAACCCCAAGTACTGGTGCCGCCAGGACTCCCTCTGGATGTGCCACCGCGTTGCCCAAACCGACGGCTCAGAGGTGACGGTGACACAGGGCAGGGTGTCCATTAGGGACAAACACGCAGCACACTCGTTCACGGTGGTGCTGAGCAACATGACCCTGGAGGACACTGGCTGGTACTTCTGTGGGGTGGAGAGGAGGCTGTGGTTCGACATGCGGCACAGCACTGAGGTGATGGTCTCTCCAGGTAAGGTCGGGCTGGGAGCAAAGTGGGGGTGTGTGATGGAGTCTGTGACTTGAGTCACTTGGGTCACGGCACTGGGGACAGGGACTCCCCAGCCAGGGGAACACGGGGGCTGTCAGAGCCGGAGCAAATTCCTTGTAGGCACCAAGAGCTGCTGGAGGCTGCCCTGGTGCAAATTTGGGTGGAGGAGGCTGTGTGGAGTTGTGTGCAGAGCTGGGCCTCTCCCCTTTAGGGTCTCTGCTTCTGTGAGTCCACCCTTTGTGGTCCCCAGTCCCTCCCAGTTAAAGGCCTCTTTTCCTTCCTCCTCCTCCCTGGTGCCCAGTGAATTGCCCAAGGACCCCCCATCTCCACAACCAAAGTTTTGGGGCAGGGACCCCCTGCAGAGGGGGCAGGACAGGGTGCAAGGGACGGTGTCTGCACTTTCCTCTGACTCTGTGTTTCCTTCACAGCTGTTTCAATCACATCTGAGGGCAGCAACATGAGCCTGTTACCCACCGACGGCCACTCTGAGAAGGCTCCAGTGCTGTGAGTCAGGGTTTGGGGTCCAGGCAAACCCCAAACGCAACCCCCCCAGCCCAAGACACATCTTCCCCTGTGTGCATCCACCAACCCTGGGTCCTCCTGGTTGCAGCAGCTTCAGGGAACATCCCAGGGTGGCTACCAGACATGCAAGTGCCCCCACCCTCATCCTTGTTGCCCAGACCTTACTCAAGCTCTAGCAACACCTCCTTTCTCCTGCCCAGGTCCCCGCTCGATGTCACCTACCTGCTGCTCCTGCTCGGTGTGAAGGTGGCTGTGGTGCTGGTCCTGGCGTGTGGGGCTGTCTGTGTGAGGACCTGGCACAGCAGCCACAGCCAGGAAAACCTGCAGCTCCTGGAGGTGGCTGACAGCACCGGGACACTGGACTGTCTCTCTGCCCTGGAGACACAGAGTCACCCTTCTGTCCCCTTGCCCCCCATCCTGCCGGGGCTGCGACACCCGTCACAGCCCCCCCGGGCTGGGAGCTGCTCAGCACCAGGTGCATCTTTCCTTGGGAAGCCTCAGCCCCTCCTGGCAGCCCCCATGCTGGAGAAGGGAGGGTTTGGGGCACGGAGAGCCCGTATCTGCTGAGCTGGGGCTGCCCCCTGAAGACAATTTTGCAATAAAGCCCAAGTATCCTGCAGGTGCCTGATTGTCTTTCTGTCCATCCATCCACCTGCTCCCTCCTCCTGCTTTCAGCAGCACCTGGGTGCTGGTGGCTGCTGATGCTGATGTGTGGGGCTGTGTAGGGACATGCTGTGGCGTGGCTGGGGGGCACATGAGATCACAGGGGGCCACACAGGTGCCAGTTCCACTACAGCCCAGCCAAGCCCTGGCACAAGGAGAGGAGCCCTCAGCCCTGCCAGCCCTGCCCAGTGCAAGCAAATGCCTGTCTCCAGCTGAGCAAGAGCTGAGGAACCCTCTGCTTCCACAATTCTCTCTCCCTCTACAGCTACTTTCCACCCTCAGCCTGAGAGCAAAGCTCACATCACACCCAGCCACACTCTGGGCTCCTTTTCTCATTGCTCCCATTGTTTTTCAGGTTCTGTGTCTGCTGAAACCCTGCCAAAAGCCTCCTCCTTACATCTGCTTGTGTCCCACGGGGTGGAATGGCACCAGTAGCATGGCCACCTCCATCCCCCCTTGAGCTGTGCCACATCCAGCATTTCATGGCACAACCAGCTTTCTCCCAGAGAGCTCTGGAAGAGAATTGCTTCTCCTTGGCTCTGTTTAAGGAACCAAAATGCCTGAGGGGCCAGGAGCAGGCATGAAGCAGGAACTTGCAGCCCACTCCAGCCCCATGCAGCAAAACCTCTGCTGCAGATGCAGCACTTTGGGAGTGAGAGGGAGTGAGCTGAGGAGCCTGGCCCTGTGCCCCCACTTTGTTCCTCCTGACACTCCACTGCCTCCGCTGCCTGCTCCTGCCAGGAGCACCCTGGGAGCACAGGGCCTGGGGCTGTGCTGGGGTCTCAACTCCTGTGGGTTGAAGGGCTTTATTTTCCCGGGCCTGGCAGATTCCACCTCCTGGATGGACAAGCAGGAGCCAGGAAGCTCCAAGGAACTCCAGGGGAGTGGGTGAGACCTTCTGTCCCTGGAGTGTCCCATCCAGGACGACCTGTGGCACCATCTGGTGGGGACAATCCTGTCCCAGAGCCACCATGTGTAGGGGGGATAAAGGTGGCAGCTCCGAGGCAGAGCCATGGGGAACCTCAGGACTACCAGGCTGCTCACGACAGGGGAAGGGACCCTGGAGCAGCTGCACAGGGATTCCTGGAAGCCCAGAGCCTGGCCTGGGTGATGCTCAAGGACCCTTCACCCACAGAGAATTGCTGTCAGGGACCAGGGTTCAGGGCTAGGCACAAGTCAGGGACAGGGACAGCTCAGTTTTGTCTCTATCAAGAAACAATCTTAGGACTGCTAAACTGGACCCAACCATTGGCAATAAATTTGTCTTCTCCTCCACCAGGGCCAGAGCTGTGATGGTACCAGCAGCAGGTCCATGTGTGAGGCTTTGGTCTGAGCCGAGGCCAGTGTGGGGCTGTAGGAGAAAGACCCTGTGACACCCAGCATGGGTCTGGTCCCTGCTTGTGTTTGTCCTGACTGTCCCTGCCTGTCCCCAAACTCTCCCTCACCTCTGGGACCTTCATCTGAAGGGCTTGCACAAGCCAAAGCAGGCTTAGCAAGTCACCCATGAGCAGGAGGGTGAACACTGGGTCTGGTACATCCAGGGGACAGGGGATGGGGACAGAGGGGAGGCCAGGAGAGACCCATTCGGGGCACTGGGCATGAAGCTACTGACCTGCAGAGGGGATGTACTGGGAGCAGCTCTGGGTAACATGCTGGGGACAGCCTGGGGCTCCCCTCTGCACTTCCCAAGGCGGGGAGAGGGTGCCATGCAGGATCACTGTGCCACCCTCACTGCCCAGCCTAGGGCCATGTCTGGGGCTGAAGGGGTCCCTGCAGAGGGCTGAGCCACCTCTTAAGAGGCAAATCCCCCACTGGGACAGTGAGACATGGAGATGTGGGACTGCACCCTGCCGTGGGAGATGTGCCAGGGGCAGAAAGGGAAATACCCAGGGCGAAGAAAGTATCAGGGGCAGCAGCAGGTGAGCAGGGCTCAGGGGACAGTGCATGGCAGTGCCCTCAGTGACAGGGGGGCAGGAAGCCAGCTGAGACCAGCGGAAACAAGGAGCCTCATGCTCTTGCCAAACCTCCAGCAGCAATGAATTTAACCTCCCAGGCAGAAGAGGAAGTAAAGCCTGAAAGACTCCACCATGAAAGAGCATGAGGGGCAGGAGGCAGGGCCAGCCCACCCGTGCAGCTCCTGCTGCGGGCCTGGGGGCTGCTGCCCAGCACAGCCGAAGGGAGCCCTGGGGCTCCAGCCTCACACTGGGTGGCCACAGGGAGAGATGTCCATGAGTTGGCAGCACTCCCCCAGATCCTGTGACCCCGTAGGCTGCTGGGTGTGCTAGGAGTCCTGGGGAGTTCCCTCTGGGTGATGTGCACACACCAGATCGGCCAGGAGATGGAGATGAGATTCCGCTGCAAACCAGGAAAACCTTGTACTTGTGCTGCCTACGCTGTCAGCACCTCGGAGCTGCTGCGGAGGCTGAGGTTTCTCAGAATCACTGCCTATGGTGTGGCAGAGACCGATCCTCCGTCCAGAATGGTCAGGCATGGTGAGTGATCACTGTCACCATGGAACACCTGGTTGAGGGGGACACGGGCACCTACTGCTGTGGGGTGCGAATGGCCAAAACCACGCAGGAAGAGTCACGGCACGGAGGTGGCCGTGTCCTCAGGTTAGTCCCTGCAAGTCCCCGGCCGGCACAGCCCCACTGACCTCGTGGAGGGGGGG